AGGGATGCTGGGAAACCAAACTCTCACCTTCTCAGCTGAGCACCTTCACTGCAAGGGGTGCTGGGAAACCAAACTCCTACCTTCTCAGCTGCTTGACGGGAAGGTGGGCAAGGAAGCAGGAGGCACTGGGTGGCTGCCTTGTGGCCAGCTGTGATTTCTGCCAGCCTGATCTTTCTTTCTTTCTCTCTCTTTTTCCTTCCTTCCTTCCTTCCTTCCTTCCTTCCTTTCTTTCTTTCTTGGCACTGTCCCTCAGCTCTTCAGCTCAAGGCTGGCACTCTATCACTTGAGCCACAGCGCCACTTCCAGCTTTTTCTGCTTATGTGGTGCTGAGGAATCAAACCCAGGGCCTCATGCATGCGAGGCAAGCACTCTACTACTGAGCCACCTTCCCAGCTCCTAGCCTGACATCATTTAGCTTGTTTATACCCTGCGTTTCCCAGGAATGAGATGTTAGGCCCCAATTAGATTCATGTTAAACACTTGGGGCATAAATAGTCATAGGGAATGCCGTGGTTTTCATACTCCATTGCATTAAGTAATGACCAGGTTGCAATTTCCAGGGTGTAAGCACAGGCCAGGTACCATCACTAAAAAGCTAACCTGTAGCTGGACATTGGTGGCTCAGGCCTGTGATCCTAGCTACTGAGGAGGCTGAGATCTGAAGATCATAGTTCAAAGCCAGGTTGGGCAGGAAAGTCTGTGAGACCCTTATCTCCAATGAACCACCAGAAAACCAGAAGTGGCACTGTAGCTCAAGTGGTAGAGCTTTAGCCTTGAGCTGAAGAGCACAGGGACAACCCCCAGGCCCAGAGTTCAAGCCCCATGACCAACCAGAACAAACAAACAAAAGCCAAACTGGAATCTCAATCCTTCTGGAGCTCTAGGAATAATTCTGCAGGGGCTGCCCACATCTTACCCATGCTTGCCCATCCACCAAGGGCAGCCTGAGCTCCTGTACTATGCATTTACTCTGGTAGTCAGGCTGGACTTGCATGTGGGAAACTGAGGCAGAGATTCTGAATCATTCAACACTGAGGCCTAGATCCCCCCAGCTGGTCAGATGTACCACTCTGAGGTCCACTCTGAGTCAAGGGGAGGGGAGTCTCCCCCCCTCAGCACCTCTTCTGGGGCCTTCTCATGTGTACATTTGCATGCTTGTTGGAGCAGACACACTGTGGTCTTGGGTGTCCCCACGGGTCACCGGCTCTTGCAGCCCAGGTGGGCATAGGCTGGCTCCTTGCCCACCTTCCCTACCTCTAGAGCAGCACTGGAGCCATCCTGCCAACATCTGGCTGTGACCTTGTACACCTCTGCAAAGAAACACTCATGCTCCATCCAGTTTCCCCAGGTGTGCCAGAGGTGGCCTCACCCCTCTCTACCTGCAGGCTGAACACCAGGCATCAGCCTGACTCACCTGCCCATCATGCCTATCCAACCAGTCCAGTCTGTGCGCTAAGACTTGTAGCCAGGACTTCCTTAGCCAGCATCCTCCAGCTACCTGCCTGGCCTGGCAGCCACCATATTCCTACCTACCATCCACTGGTCCTCCCCTTCCAAGCCTCACTTCCCCTGCGACTGCTACACGATGCTCACGGACCGGCTGGCGTTCCTCCTTGACTTCACCTTTCCTTTCTCCTCACTTCGGCTTCAGGGTCCATCTGTTCCAGATGACTTGGGCTCCATTGCTCTGTGATCATTGTAGACGTGTCACCCACCACACACACACAGCCTTTATCTTTCCCATTTACAACTCCTTTTTGCGAACAAAAGAATTAGTAGTTCTTTTTTTTTTTGGGGGGGGGGGAGGGTCCGGTCATACGGCTTGAACTCTGGGCCTGGGCGCTGTCTCTCAGCTCTTCAGCTCAAGGCTAGCTCTCTATCACTTGAGCCACAGTGCCACTTCCGGCTTTTTTCTTTTTGCTTAGGTGGTGCTAAGGAATCGAACCCAGGGCCTCATGCATGCAAGGCAAGCACTCTACCACTGAGCCACCTTCCCAGCCCGAGGAATTAGTATTTCTTTCGCAACAGTGAAACTGAGATTCAGAATCCCACAACTCACTGTGTAAATAGCAGAGCTGTGAGCCAGCCTCTCTCTCTCTTTTTTTTTTTTTTCTGCTAGTACTGGGGCTTGAACTCAGGGCCTCATGCTCTTGCTTGGCTTTTCTACTCAAGGCTGGTGCTTTACCATTTGAGCCAAACTTCAATTTCTAGCTTTTTTCTGCTAGTTAACTGGAGAGTCTCATGGACTTTCCTGCCTGGGATGCCTTTGGACTGTGATCCTTAGGTCTCCTGAGTAGCTAGGATTACAGGTGTGAACCATAGGCACCTAGTTCTCTCTCTCTCTCCCTCTTCTTTCTCTCTTTTTTCCCTTTCTTTTCTTCTGTGCCCATCCTAGGGCTTGAACTCAGGCCCTCATTCTCTTGCTTAGCTTTTTCCACTCTACTTCCAAGAGTCAGCCTCATGACCGTCTGGGACAAAGCCCTGAACATAGGAGCCCATTGGTCCTTTGCTCTGTTGGAAGGTGCTCCTAGCTGCTCCCCTCCCCCCCCGTGGTACGCCAACTCTTCCTCCCCTCTTCAGTCCTTCAGTGCATAGCTCCACACAGCACCTCCAAGTTCCAGCCCACACCCATCGCCCTCACCCCTTAACTCTCCTGGCAGCCATCTAGCCTTGCACAACTCACATTTAATGACAGATTGCCTGGCGTGTTACTCTGGTTCGTTTACCTTCACCTTTCTGGTCCCTAGGAAGCCCATAGGAGGCAGAGCTTCTCCTGGCTTCCATGGTGGCTGGCTCACATCCTCAGTGGCACTGATCTGGTGTCTCAAAGCTGTGCTGAAAGCTGCCAGCTCTGTCCTGCCCCACCCCAGCCCCCACCACAGCGGTGTGCGCTCACACGCACCCACACCACACACATACACATCGAATCTAAAGCTCTCTTCCCCAATAATGAAAAGCCTCAAGGTGTCTGTCCAAGGCGGAGCCCGCCCTGCCTCCGAGTCTGCGGGTAGCAGTGAGGCCATCAGAGCTGCTGGGAGCCAGGGCTCCCAGGGGAGTCCTCGCTGTCACCTCTTATAGAGTCTAGGGCTGGATTAGACATTGGGGGAGGGGCGGCGATGCTTCTCTTGATTCTAATTCTGGTCTTGCCCTTGTGTCGGGTGGGGGATAGGACTGCACCCTGTCTTTGTGAGGAACATTCCTCTACCACGGGGGAGGTGCCACCGCCAGGCTCCCCACCCCCCTCCCCTCCCCTCCCCACCAGCTTCCCTGCCCCCCTCCATGTGCCCCCACCCTCACCTCCCAAGCCCCAGTGGTGGAGTTCAATATTCATGTCACAGTGGGAAGCAGGTACCCAGCACCTTGAATGATCTAGAGTTCATGCTGATTGTTTTTTCTGGGACACTTAGGAAGCCAGCAGCATGAGGCTTTGGCACTTGCTGACCCAGAGTCAAAAGAAGTGAGAAGGCCAGGTGTGACTGGTGCACACTGTCAGCCCCGCACTGAGGCTAGATGAGCACAAGTTCAAAGCCAGCGTAGGCTACATATCCAGATGTGTGTGTGTGTGTGTGTGTGTGTGTGTGTGCGCGCGCGCGCATGTTTGTGTGCTGGTTCTAGGGTTTGAACTCAGAGCCTGGGCCCTATCCCTGAGCTTTTATGCTCAAGGCTACCACTCTAGGACTTGAGCCACAGCTCTCCTTCCAGCTTTTCGCTGGCTAATTAGGGATAAGAGTCTCACAGACTTTTTCACTGCTCAGGCTGACTTTGAACCTTGATCTTCAAGTCTCAGCCTCCTGAGTAGCTAGGATTACAGGCATGAGCCACCGATGCCTGGCTGCACATTCTGTTTGAAAGCCAGTTGGGCTGGCATAGTTTGACACTGTATCAAAAAGAAACAGCTCCTGGGTCCTGGTGGCTCATACCTGTAATCCTAGCTACTCAGGAGGCTGAGATCTGAGGATCACAGTTCAAAGCCAGCCTGGGCAGGAAAGTCCGTGAGACTCATCTCCAATTAACTTCCAAAAAACCGAAAGTAGTGCTGTGGCTCAGGTGGTAGAGCACTTGCCTTGAACTGAGGAGCTGAGGGACAGTGCCTAGACCCAGAGCTTAAGCCCATGAATGACCAAAAAAAAAGAAAGAAAGAAACAATTCCCCCACCCCTCACAAAATGAATGAATTAATCAATTAGGAAAGGAAGAGAGAGAAGAGACCATGAGGCCTGGAAAGATGTAGAAGGTCAGACCTCTGGAGGCCAACTTCTCTTCCTTTCCAATTTTGTCCATAGCCAGTCCAAGCAAGAGAGATAAATAAGTCAGTAAACAGAGAGGTGCTTATGTGAGAAAAATAAATAAATGAAAGAATCTCCTAACCCATCTCTTATCCACGCAGCCTGGAGAAGGGGGGGGGGGGGGGGGGAGTGTGGGAGTGTCTCCATTGAAGCTGAAGCCACAAGGCGGCCCAGCCTCTGGGAGGAGGGGACAGGACATCCCAGAGGAGGAGGCTTGTCACTCTCCCCGCAGCAGCCGGGCAGCCCGGCAGGGAGGGAGGCCCGGGGAGAGCCACGGGCACAGGTGTTGCCAGGGGACGTGCGCAGCTCTGTCCGGGCCCTGCGCAGTGCCACCTCTGTGGGCACAGCCCTGTGCGAGGTGCGGCGGAGCTGGGCCGAGGCTGTGGAACCTACGATGGATCTCCTCAAGCAATGAAGTGAGGGCAGGTTCGGGACCCTGCTCACACAGCTTGGGAAGACTTTTGGACCTTGGTGTGGGCCCTGGGCACCGTTCCTATCTTTTGGATCTGCTTCCTGGCACAACTAAACAGGCCCAGGCGGTGGCTGACTGAGCCGCCTGGGTGCCCTGCCAAGCTGGTAAACCCGGTCATATTCCAGGCTCCAGGCTGGCAGGGAAGCTGGGAAGGAATCTCCAGCGAGAGCATCAGGCCAAGCTAAGGCAGCCCAGTGGGGAAGGGAGGCTCCTCCGCCTTCAGGGACAGCAGACGCCAAGAAGATGGATGAGCAGGTGTTCAAAGGCGATCCGGACTGCCCTCATTCCATCTCGTTCTCGGGCAGTGGATTCCTCTCCTACTACCAGGCCGGGGCCGTGGACGCCCTGCGAGACCTGGCCCCCCGCATGCTGGACACCACCTATCGCTTCGCAGGGACTTCCGCAGGAGCGGTGATCGCAGCGCTGGTCATCTGCGGGATAGAAATGGGTAAGGCCTGGGCCTCTGTCCTGGGCTCCCTGGAGAGATTTCCCCCAGTGCAGGAGCCTGTGGGGGCTTTGGGGGGCGCTTCTGGGGACCACGCCAGGCCTGGGAGGCAGGAAGGGAAGGGGTGGGTGGGCTGGACCTCTGCCAGGGTTGCAGCCTCAGAGCCACGGGGGAGCGTGGACCGCTCTCCCTCTCGCTTAAGGTCCATGGCTCGCTGGGGCTGAGAGGGGAGAGGCAGACTCCTGAACATCCTGGTGTGTGAAGTTATGCCAGGACTCAGCCTTAAGAGGTGAAGGGTTGCTCTGGCCCCTTTTAAAATGCAGCATACTCAGCTGGGTGCTGGTGGCTCATGCCTGTAATCCTAGCTGCTCAGGAGGCTGAGATTTGAGGATCATGGTTCAAAGCCAGCCTGGGCAGGAGAGACCGTGAGACTCCTATCTCCAATAAACCACTAAAAAACCGGAAATGGCGCTGTAGCTCAAGTGGTAGAGCGCTCGCCTTGAGCTGAAGAGCTGAGGGACAACGCCCA